TGAAACCAGATCAATGGTTTATGATCAGTAACTAACGTGAATTTATGCCCATAGATGTGAGGCCTAAAATTTTTAACATCCTGAACAATAGCCAAAGCTTCTTTTTCATATGTATCATATTTCAACTCAGCGCCTCTTAACGCTCTCAAATAATAAGCAATAGGTTTATCTTTACTTATTTCCCCTTGAGATAAAACTGCACCAACAGCAATGCCTGAAGCATCTGTTGTAATTATGAATGGTTTCGAAAAATCTGGATATTGTAATACTGGAGCTTTACATAAAGCTTCCTTTAATATCTCGAAAGCATTCTGTGCTTCTTGAGACCATTCAAAATCTCTATTCTTTTCTAATAAACGCGTTAGTGGTTTTGCAATTTTTGAAAAATTCTTAATAAATCTTCTGTAATATCCAGTTAAACCCAGAAAAGCTCTAATATTTTTTTGCGTTTTCAGTACCGGAAATTTTTTTACCGCATCTAATTTCGATGGATCAGGTTTTAACCCTTCATTACTAATAATATGACCCAGATAATTTACTTCACTGCGTAAAAATTCACATTTATTTGGTTGCAATTGCAAATTAGCTTTACGTAAACGTTGCATTAAATCATCAATTCTTTTTCCATGCTCATCCAAATTTTTCGCGAAAACTACAATATCATCTAAATAAACAAACATCGATATACCCTGCAACCCAGTCAAAACCGTATCCATTAACCTTTGGAACGTTGCTGGTGCGTTTTTTAACCCGAACGTCATACGTTTAAACTCCCAATGTCCTTGTAAAGTTGAAAACGCCGTCTTATGGCTATCTTTTGGATCCATCTTAATCTGATGATATCCGGAAGCTAAATCAAACACAGAGAAATACATTGAACCTCCTAATTGATCAAGAATATCAGTAATATTTGGTAATGGATAAGCGTCAGTAATAGTTCTTTCATTTAATTTTCTGTAATCTATAACGACTCGCCATCTTTTATTACCTTGCGAATCTGGTTTCCTAGGCACGATCCAAACTGGACTATTATAAGAAGACTCAGAATGCCCAATAATGCCTGTGTCGAGTTCCTCCTTAATTTGTTTTTCAATTTCTGTCTCCAAAAACTGAGGTGTACGATATTGTTTCACTGTTATAGGAATATCTGAAGTAGTAGGTATTTCATGATTGTATACATCTGTTGACCCTAGTGGTTCATCTGGAATATGAAACCGATCTGCATATTTTTTTTTTTATTTTTTCAACATGTTTTCTTTTTTCTTCGCCTAAATGGCTTAATCTCAATAACTTTATAATTTTTTTAAATCTTTTATCATTTTCAAAATTTTCAACAATTGACAAAATTTTTTCCGTATTAAAATCTTTAAAATTTAGTTTATTAAAATCTAATTGAGTTTCAATTTCACAATCTCTGTTCAAACATTCTTCTTGATCAATTTTAGGATCATGTAAATTCTCTACTGACTGTATAAATAAAGTAGGAATTTTCAATCCCACTTCATTTTCAGTCGTATTAAAAACTTGCATATAAGCACGACCATCATTAACACGTACTAAACAGTCTCCCAAAAATACGCCTTTACACGCTTTTAATCTTGGGACATAACCTTCGACAATATTTTTATTTTTAACTTTTACGAAAAAGGTTGACTCACTACGAGGGGGAATATACATCATTCCATCCTCGACTCTATTAGCTTTTTTAAATGGGTATTTAACATCATCTACTTTCATTACTTTATTTTTATAATCAATTTTTACCCCATGAGTTGCGAAAAATCGAGATCCTACGAGACCTGCATGCGGAATACCTAAAGTATCAGGAATCACATGACATACAGTCTCTTTATTAAATAATTTAACTTTTACTCTTCCGAGTGTCTTTATTGGTACATTTGCAATACCGTGCAATTCAACAATTTTACTTTTATCAATTGTCGTCGGATCATTTACATAGCTAAATTTAAGTAAGTTCGGCGAAGCTCCTGAATCTATCATCATAATTACATCTTTATTTTTATTTGTTTTGCCTACAATAATATACGGTAGATCGTCTAAATTTTCTAATTTCACGCTCATGATTAGTACTCGTTTTCGGATTCCTCCTCGAAAGTCAATGTCACTGGACGCTTTGGAAGTGCCTCTGACCCCGCGCCTATCTGGCGAGACACATTCGAGTTTTCCTGTTCATCGTATTTTTTAGCTTTAAGACGGAAACAAGTGGAAATGTCGTGACCAGATTTTTTTCAAAATTTACAAGATTCACTTTGATTACTTTCATTCGAATGATTAATTAATCGACACGTTTTAGCAGTATGACCATTTTTTTCACAAATTTGACATTTTACGTTTGATGAAACTCTATTTGGATTTTTAAATCAATTTTTAGCAGTATGTCCAGTTTTATTATAAAGCTGACAATTTCCTCTTGAATTATTATTATCTTTTTCTCGACAATTTTTCTTTACATGACCAGGTTTATTACATGAATGACAAATAATCTTTGGTTTCTCCTGACTATTATTATTTAAACTTTTGTCTTTATCGTTATTTGGTTTATTAGTTACAAATTTAACGGGTTTATTTTTATCTTCATTTTTATTTTCTTTAATTTTTATACTATTTGGGTCTTTACGAATTTCTTTTCGCGCAATTAATCAAATTAATTAATTTTTTTCGTAATTTATTAACAAAGTCTACTACTAATTTATCATTTTTTTGAAACATTTTTCCTAGTTCACCTTGCAACTGAAAAAGTGTTTTAGAAGGAACATAAACTTTTTTAAGATCTCTTCGGAGTTTATTTACAGTGCTATATGTTATTTTATTTAATGCATCTTTAACTGAAGGAGATAATTTACTACCAAAAATTAATTTAGTGAGATTTGATTCTACTTGCTCTGGTAACATACATTTTGCTTCATCACAACAATTCGAAAAATCAAATAATTCTTTTGGTTTGCCCGTAAATATAGGAATGCGCGTAAATATTAACGCGTCTTTGAGAGATATATTTTGATTATCAGACATTTTTCTTTGTTCCGTCATATTTATATCTAAATTTTCCGTCTCTATGTGAGCTTGAGTTTGATTTATCGTTGCGTCACTATTATCATGCTCGTCAGATGTAACGAGTTCACTTGATTCTGATATTTTTGTTAAATCACCGATACCCGAATCAACAAACTTGAAACTTTTAGGTCTGGTAGGCGGAGCTAAACCTTCAGGATATAGTGGACCACCGGTACTTCTCAACGAATAACCTTTTTTATTATTATCAGATGATCCAGAATTATCAGACATTTAAACTATTTCTCCATAGAAGATCATTGCAATCCCGGACGAGCCCCCAAAAATTGTTATGTAATTTTGCTCTTTAAAGGTGTCAATATGTAAACCATATGCTCAACCTTAGAGACTTTAAATTCCTCTTTTTTGTCCTAGCCTTTCGACCAATAGACAGAGATGAGGGGATCTTCGATAGAGAAAGTAAAAATGTGTGATTTATACAAAAACAATAACAAAATTTTATTGAATGAAAATTATTTTTTTATTTTGTCAGTGAATCAGAAGTATAACGATACAAACATTGTGTAGTTTTTCTTAGGTTTTATTGAAATCATACAATTAAATGTCATTGTTCATTGGGCAGTCATTAATTGTCATATAAAAGTGACATGACATGATTTGTAGGTAACCTGCAAAATAGTTTCTTTATTTAAAATTTATGCTGCGAAAATAAAAATATTTTTTCTTCTTCAACAAAAACGTGTGTACTTAACAACTTGTTCGATTAAAATTCATGCAAGCGGACACGTTATTTATCGTTCGTTTGAATATGAGGCGAACCGTCACGGAAGGAAAATCCATAAAATAACTACTGTCTGTAGTATCCACTCTATTAACTGTTGAAGTTTCACTTTGAAATCACCTTCTAATAACGCGTAAGACGTGAGTCAGTTTTGAGAAAATGAAACCAACAAGTACCATGACGACTATCCTGGAAAACGTTGTTCAAATCAAATAGACTTTTTACAACAAATTGTGTTGCTCTTAATCGACGTAAAATTGGTGGACCTTCGATAATCCGCAAAATATCAAAAACAATAGTATTTAAGAAATTTCAGAAAAACCTAAACAAGACAATCCGTGACGTAGCCGAAGAATTAAATATATCAGAGTTGACATTTCAACGGCGCCTTCATAACAATGATCTCACAGATATAATACGACAAAAAAAAAGTAAAAAATAAACAAATTCATATAGTAAGTCAATCTTCAATGACTGTTATTTATTAATTTGCTTAAATATATTCAATATTTTCAAAATTTCATACTTATATAAAATCTTTATAGTCACGCCAAGTTTTTCGTTGTAACAATTAAAAACTCTGATCACCTGTGGTGATTTATGCTTGGCGCACGAGACACTACCGTATTTTTTGATTTTCTCTATTTTATATTCCGTTTATCGGAGTCGTTAGTTATGGGTGACCCTGTGTATTATAGTCTAAGGCATGCATTATTAAAGATGTCCTAAATAGATCGTAGAAGTACTATATTTTATTTTTCTACTTTTCAATATCAAACGATATTTCATGTTGCTTGATGTCATTCCTATTTTTTTATCGCGATATTCTTAAAAAACGTATTCACGTAACTTTTGATTACTTTGGGGACAGCAATATAAAGTATAGATATTAATCAAGGTGGTAACTTCAAAGACGAGGAAGGATTATAAAGTGATAGTATGTTATTACCCTTTTTTTTATTTATGTATGTAGTTTAAAATCATGAATCTTATATCATTTGATGTGTGACACCATCTATGATCGATTGAAATTATCGTACATATAACCATGAGAAACAAAATCAAAAATTAACTCATTGCTTTCAACTACATGAGTTCTATGTTTTGACGAAAATCTCTTACGGTTTAACTGTATTATTCGTTAATAATAAGAAGATTTTTAATTTCTTATCCCCACATATTTCAGACATGGCTGCCAGTGATTTTGAGTCACACACCCGCAGGCGCCTCAACAAAGACCATGGTTCATTATGCTCAAGAAATCGTTTCTGGGCAATTTCAATTTTATGACTATGGACCAGAAAAGAATTTACAAATTTATAACTCTACATTTCCATTGAATTATAATTTATCTGCTATTCATACGCCAATTATACTATTTTATGCTGACAACGATTGGTTAGCTGCGCCAGTAGTAAGTATGATTACTTTATTACACTCTATAATAGCTTCATGAAATGTTAATACTGTATAATAATTATGGAGAATATAAAACTTCATTATCCGTAAGATTAATATGTGACGCGAAGAAAAAAAAATTTTTACTGAAGTATTGGGCTTTAATAACGTCCAAGTATATTGTGGACTGTTCTAACTATAGAGTGAACCATAGAATAACTCTACTTATGATAACTCTTATCTTTTGAGTGCTAAAATATTTCAGCAGATTGTATGAATCAATATTATGTCTATATTAAAATATTACTCAAGAATAAATATATGATAAGTTCATTAGAATGTAGTGATCTGGGTAACATACTTCCTTAATAAAGGGAAGGCAGTCAGACTAATAAGAGATTTGTACGGTATTATGCAGCGATAGGGACATCGAGGCATGTGTTTTCGTGAGACAAGAACTAAATCCTGTGGTGCTCGGCCAATATTGCACAAAGAATCCGGCGGCAATACAGGTAAACATCAAGTTGAGATTAGTGCTGGTTAAAGCCGTTATTGGCTTGGCATACCTTCCTGATGACTCTGTCGAATGTCACCCGCTAAGAAGCTAAAACGACTCGTAGAGTACTGCTGGAAGACGTACTGCGAGCTTATACTGGGATGTGATGCTAATGTTCTTTACACATTCAGGGGCAGCAGTGACATGAATGAGAGAGAGAGAGAGAGAGAGAGACTAGCCTACTAGAGTAGCTCAATCAACACGGCCCCGAAGTCCTAAATAGGGGGACCAAATCTATCTTTGTTACCTCAGTCAGGCTAGAAGTCAAAGACATAACTGTCGCTACGGCGAAAATCTACGATTTCGTCACTAAGTGAGGGATGGGCGAAAAAATAATTATAGTTTTGTAAGAGCTTATCGTTGCGTATGCCCAGCTAGGATAAGGCACTGGGGAAGAAGAGTCTCTTGGTGGAACAGGAGCTTTCTCAAGCTCATAGGAAAAGCAGAAAACTCTTCAACTAGGCAAAGAGGCTGAACATGGATCAGCGATGGGCTGATCAAGTCAAGAAAGAGGTAAGCCTAAAGGAGCTACTACGAGAGACTGGAGGTACTACTGAAGGTAGCCAGAAACCGCAAGTTGCTCACTTCGGGCATAAACTTGACGCTTCGTAGCCTAGGGTCTATAATAATCGATAATCATCAGTCATACTGAAGCTTCTCATCACAACGCACTTCCCGGGATCAACCCCAGTGCAAGCATCCAAAACAAGGCTGAAAGACTAGTCAAGCCCACAAAATCTGGCTGGGAGATCGTCAAGCAAATCGTGACGCAATATAGGATTAACTAGGGGGTTGGCTCCTTTGATCGTTACAAAAACCCAAGTTCAGACGGAGTTTTTTTGGTTCTGCTGCAAATGAGTGCCGTCTCAACGGCTCTTTCACGGGTAGCTACCTCCTCGAAGCTCGTGGACAACTGTAGGAAGTACACCAAACGGCATGCCGCAACAAAAAATGCTAATGTAGGTACCAAGTCACTGTAGTATATGCAGCATTACTAAAGCCTTGGAGGCTTGGGGAATGAGACCCACTAAAGTGTTCATGAAAGAACCCACAGCACAGATAAGCCAGAAATCTGATCGGACTAAGCGAAAGAAGGCTACTGTACGCGCCATAACGGGACACTAGCTAACCCGACGCCATATGAGGATGTTAAGACGCGCGAAAGAGACCGTTTGCCGGTGGTGTAGAGAGGTGAAAGAAACCTCTCTCTACATAATAAGGGACTAGCCTCGTTTCCCTGGCCCTGAGAAGGACATTTTGTTTGAGTACCTCGCCTTATAGGGCATAACTCTGGGAATGGCTCTGCTTCTAGTGACGGCGTTACTTAAGACGGTATATTCTTGCGCCTTTAGAAAGGCACGAGGATACACGCATCTAGCTCAAGGCCTTGCAACATACCACTACGAGCCCAACCTCAACTGACTGAAAGCACCCGGTTCTCTGCATGTCGTTTTTCGACTTTGCAGCCCCGAATGCGGGCTTGGATTTCGGTCTCCCGTAGTAACAGTTTTATCCGCTTTGGTCGGCGGCCTCAGTTGTTTGTGGTGTGGGGGGAGCACCATTATATTGTCAATAGCTGAAAGAAGATGTTTAGTGTTAGATGTTTCCTGAAATATATCAAAGTTTTATTGTTGTTTTTGTTAATGCTATTGTTATTAAAGATTGTGAGAAAGTGAGAAATCTCTATCCGTTTAATCCACAGGTTACAGGTGTTCTGCGAAGGTTGCAGGCCTGCAACCTGTGCTTAGGTGTTCCGACAACGTCCAGGTGTGGATCAATGAAGTTCACGAGCTATGTTTTTACGGCGCTGGCAACGACCTGCTACTTCTGCGGGGAGAAGAGTTCTGTGTGTTGGGCATTGCTGCTCCCATTCTGATTTCCTCGAACAATTTGTCAGGGCATGCCTTGACAAATTGTTCGAAGGCCTTACATGTGTTCTTTGTTTGAACGAGTTTTGCTTCCATTGGGACTATCAGAAAATCGTCGAAGCCCAAACCCACTGTTTTTATTGCTAAGCTACCATCTGATGCTACGCCAACGTCTTCAAGAGACTTTGAAGTTTCAATAAATGAGCTATTGCCTTTGAGGACTTTTCAATTATTAGAGAAAGCAAAGGCTGCCCCCAAGCAGGTTGGTTTTAAGTCTGTCTGAGCCAAGAACTCTATCGTCTGTGCTTAATTCAAAAATGATGACATCACTCACGTCATCAAAAACCAGGATGATGTTGCTAGACTGTCTACTATTTATTCACCAGAGAAACAATGAATACCTTATGTCGCTCAGCCTGGACCCGCTCCACAAGTTTTGCCTAGTAACCCTCCTGCCATATAACCCGCTCAACAATTTGTTGTATTTCCAATGACTGGACTATATGTTATTTAAATGTACTCGTTTATTGTCAAGTAAATAAGTACACGATATTACAGAATATTTGTTGTATGAGTGATTTAGAAGATCTGAGTAGTTCAGATGATAGATTCTAAGTAATTCTCTGGATATTGAAGGAAGGAGCTTTATTTAAAGGGCTGACCCGAACGTCGAGGAGAGGGGTTAAAATCTAGCTTGTAGAGTTAAAGAAAGTGATTTTATGTAAGGGAAAGTTGGAGAAATCGGGATGAGTCCAAGGTTCATATTTTAGAAATCAGGGATGATATATAAAAGGGTTTTCGGTGAAGGACTTGGAATGCATATAAAAACTGGGTTTTTCCTGTAGAGAAATCTTAACTTTCTGAAGCTATAAAACTAATGTTTCTCCAAAATTATAAGTATATAGGTAAGGTATATAACAAATTTCACTTTTGCTGTCTCAATGTAAACTCTTTGCGTGCGCACCTGGATGTACTAAAGCAGTTTTTGGACTGCAGCTATCTTCGCTGCGTTTATCTACCGTCCGCTTCATGCACCTTTTAATCTAACTACTGACTTTGTTGCAGTGCTGTCGACTGCTATGGATGGCTACAGTTATCAAATTATCTTTGGCAATTTTCATACTGACCAACTATCTAACTGTTTTAATGCCAAGTACATCAGGGGCCTCATTGCTGATTTCTCTGATCACTCAAACTAGTGGAGCATGGTGTGACGCATGTTACATCAACGTCATCTTCATAGCTAGACTTGTGTCTCATGGACGCAATGACCCTGTCTCTTTTTGGAGCAAGTCACCTTTACCCATGGTTGCTGGTCATCACCTCATCTCATTCTCTCTCTTTCGATAAGTCCCAGTCTGCGATAGGGAAGCGTAAAGTAAACAGACTCTATCGTCTCTACTGGTGTTCTAAAAAAGATTCTAAACTCTCAAGTACCTTCCGTAAGGCTCGCTAGCGTTAACACAATTTATCTGCAACACGCATTCACTATTACTGCTCTCGAGTCCTCGGGCTCTCTTGTACAGCTGTGTGGCGTGAGCTAAAGAACCTTGCTGTAATTAGATCAACCAGCATGCCATCCTCGCTTGCTGTGCCTTCTGATGTACTGAATGAGTACTTTGTTAGTATCTCGACCGAAGCTGATGAAGATGCTGATAATATATCTATCAACTTTCTTGTAATTACAGTCAATCGATCATTTGACCAGAATATCTTTCCTGATTCCTGATAGCATGCGCTAGTTGTGTAGATTACCAAAACGAATACTTCTAAAAAACCTTCAGACTACAGGCCTATTGCACTGGTGCCTTGTTATAGTAAAGTGCTGGAAAATTGGCTTTTGAGCAGATTATATCATACCTAAATCAATACAACTTGCTTGATCCCCTGCAGTGCGGGTTCCGGCCAGGAAATAGCACTCAGACTGCCTTGCTTCGCTTAGTCAACGACATCAGGACTAACATTGACAATCGCGAGCTTACCATTCTCGTGCTGTTCGATTTCTCTAAAACTTTTGACAAAGTCTTGTACTCTCTATTATACATGCTGCTGGCTAAACTTGCTGTGCTGGGCTTCTCTGAGAATGCTCTTGGCTGAATGCGCTCATATTTAGTGATTAGACGCTAGGCTGTGAAGTCTTCCGATGGCTCCTCGAATTCTTTTCTACCGACGACGGCAGGTGTTCCTGGAGGGTCCATTCTTGGTCCCCTACTGTTTTCTCTATGTGTAAATGATATTGGTACCTGCATCACTGAGTCAAATACGCTGATTACTTGCAGTTATATCGCAGCTATGCTCCGATAAAAGTCAATACAGCATTCCACAGTCTCTACTCTCTTCGGAAATATACTGACCATGCATTTCGTACGACCCTAGTTAATTCTCTAGTTCTACCTCACATCTATTACTGCTTAGTAGTCCTACAAGAAGTGGGCACAGTGGCTGATACCGAGCTCCAACAACTCATCAATAAAGGGGTAGGGTTTATTTCTGGCTTCCCTCGAAATGCTCCTGTCTTTCAGGCGAGACGTGACCTTGGCTTGCTCACGGTATTTGGATATTGCAGACTTTTTCTTGGCTGTATCACTTATC